TTTAATATATAATAGAATGATAAAATAAAATAAACAAATCAATGGTATGATCTTCATCACACTAACTAAATGTTAAAGATGCTTCGCCACCACTAAAAAAAGCAACATATATAACAACAAAAAACAATAATTGACTTGTTGAAATTAAATAGCTCTTCTTAGAATGTAAAAATAAAACAAATTCATTCATACCAAACAGTTCTCTTTGGGTTGGAAAAGGATAATATTATTATTATTGCATGATAAACGTTTATCACGTGGAAAAATGTACATTGAAACTGACACATCCAATGAATGCAGTTGTCAGTAACAACTAGATTCAGATATCATGTGTTGAGATCTTAAACTTGAAGTAGTTAATTCTTGTTCTTTAGACATCGTTTTTGATGATTATTGTTTTTAGAATGATTTGAAGTTTTAACATGGTTTTTTTTCAACATCTCTGATTTATTAATCAATTAATATTAAAAATGATTTAAAATAACTGGTTCTTTTTGATGCATGAATATGCGATCTACAAAATTGGTAACCTCTGTTGTACAAAAAAAAATTTTTTCTTCTTTGGCGACATATCATCTCATCATTTGCATCATTATTACAATGTAATGGGACCCCCAACAATTTTTTGAAACAATTTTCCAAAAATCCAAGAAAAAGTCAATTTCGTTCTAACAGGAAAAGTTGAAATAGCCCAAAACATTAAATATTGATAGAAAGGCCAGCCAATACAAAACGTGTCAGAATTCAACTGATTTCTAACGATTTTGGCCAAATCGTTAGGATCAGCAGCCCCATGAATTTTATTAGAAGGTACATCAGCTCGAAACATATTCGTGTCTATTGCTCCAGGTACTATCACAGATACTTTTACATTATCAAAAGATGCTATGTAACGAAGATCTTGTGAAAATGTCGTTAATGCTGATTTTGTTGCATTATAATAACAGTTACCTGGCATACCGAAAAAGCCAACTACAGATGATGTTACTGTGATAGTTTTTTATTTATTTTTTATGATTAGTATATTTTTTTATTTTTAATTTCTAGTATTTTATTCATAGTGTATTTGTTTATTTTTTTTTTACCTGCAATTTGACCAAATTTTCTTCCTTTCATTCTTTTATAAACTGTCATTATAGTAGCAATATTACCAGTGTAATTGACATCGATTATTCGTTGCCATCCATCTTCCCGTGAAATAGTATCAAAATTATCTCTAGTAGCACCTGCTTGAGCTATATTGTTTTTTGAATATTATAAATAAATATAAAGAGACATGACGCAAATTACATAATTCCGTTTACATAGTAATAGTAATGGTTATATACCTGCATTTGAAAACAGCAATTCAATTGGATGGGAATCATCAAAGCTTTCTAAACTTTTTTTCAATTCTTCAATGTTTGAAATATCCACTTTCAATAAAACACAATTTGCACCTTTTTCTTTGCAACGTTCTGCTACTTCATTTAATCGTACTATATATAGAACATTATTGTTGTTATTATTATTACTACTACTAATGCTAATATAATGTACCTTCATTTCTACCCAATAAACCTAAAGTCACTCCAGGTGCCGCATATTCAACTGCAAAAGCAGCACCAATACCAGTGCTATAAATATTAAATATATCAAAACATTGGATATATATTTCTGAAAGAAAAAAATTTATATAATGATTAAAATGTTTGAATGATATTTAATATATTCCATTTAATAATTTTTTCTTACTACTTATTTTATTGATACAGAGAGAGAGTACTATATTCTAAGTT